AACACATTGGCCAGGCTATCTCAGTGGCTTTCTCACACTCACCGGGAGTTGACTTCGGCGCTGAATCCAGCCTTGAATTCTTCTTCCGGGACCTCAAAGCTGAAAACGTGAACAGATTCACCCCTAAAGGAGGAATGGAGGTGAGAGCTGATTATGCTTTCAGGAGAGAGAGAAAGGAGTCCCTTCACAGTTCAAAGCAGAAGAAATCAGAGATTGAGGGCAAGAAGATTGGGCTCCAGCGGGAGAACGTGAGCTGGTTCTAGACTTCTTTGGTGAGCCACACCTGTCTGCAAGGATCAGGGTGACATATTCTGGTTATTGAGCATCAGGAGTGGGGGGGTTGGAGGTGCAAATCTCATTCAGAAAGTACAACTAAAAGTTTGATGTCACTAATAATGCCATAAAGGTAAAGGGACCCCTGACCATTAGGCCCAGTCGTGGCCGACTCTGGGGTTGCGGCGCTCATCTCGCTCTATTGGCCGAGGGACCCAGCATACAGCTTCCGGGTCATGTGGCAAGCATGACTAAGCCACATCGGGTGAGCCAGAGCAGCGCACGGAAATGCCATTTACCTTCCCGCCGGAGTGGTACCTATTTATCTACTTGCACTTTGACGTGCTTTTGAACTGCTAGGTTGGCAGGAGCTGGACCGAGCAACGGGAGCTCACCCTGTTGCAGGGATTCGAACCGCCAACCTTCTGATCGTCAAGTCCTAGGCTCTCTGGTTTAACCCACAGCGCCACCCGCGTCCCTAACAGAATGCCTATTTCAGTTTGGGTACCGATTGGCGATACACCCACAATATAACAGGAAATATTATTATTACTCTAACTGAACGTTTACAGGCCACTATTCCATAAAGCTTCACTCAGCAGCACACATGCAGAAAATGTGTGCGTTTAACACACAGTGACTGAGTACCCTCCTGCACCTCATATTTCTGGACACTCATAAGATTCCTCCTCTCCCCTGTATATGATCTTTTGAGGATTTCCTCGTGTATCTGCAGAGAGGATGGGTCCCTCCCACCCACCCACCCAAAACATCCCTGCCTTGTGGTGGTGGTGGTGGTGGGGAGTGGGCTAAGTGGCCAAAGTCTAAAGGTGGATTTCACCCACCTTCGGGCCGACGCTTCCACAAAACTCTTGAGGAGGGTGCGGCCCTCGCAGGCGACGGAGTCTGCAGGAGGAAAACACAGGATGAACGGAGAACAGATTGACCACCAGAAGTCTTTCAATAATAAGAATAAGAATAATTTATTCTTTGTAACCCCACCCATCTCACTGGGTTGCTTCGGCCACTCTGTGCAGCTTTCAACATAAGGTAAAATAAAGGGACTCCTGACCATTAGGTCCAGTCATGGCCGACTCTGGGGTTGCGGCGCTCATCTCGCTTTACTGGCCAAGGGAGCCGGCGTACAGCTTCCGGGTCATGTGGCCAGCATGACTAAGCCGCTTCTGGTGAACCAGAGCAGCGCACGGAAACGCCGTTTACCTTCCCGCTGGAGCGGTACCTATTGATCTACTTGCACTTTGATGTGCTTTCGAACTGCTAGGTGGGCAGGAGCTGGGACTGAGCAACGGGAGCTCACCCCGTCGCAGGGAGTCCTAGGCTCTGTGGTTTAATCCACAGCGCCACCCGCATCCCATAGCTTTCAACATATATAAAAACAAAATACAGTGGTACCTCTGGTTACGTACTTAATTCGTTCTGGAGGTCCGTTCTTAACCTGAAACTGTACTTAACCTGAAGCACCACTTTAGCGAATGAGGCCTCCTGCTGCCGCCAGAGCACGATTTCTGTTCTCATCCTGAAGCAAAGTTCTTAACCCGAGGTACTATTTCTGGGTTAGCGGAGTCTGTAACCTGAAGCGTATGTAACCCGAGGTACCACTGTAAAGATTGCCTCATACACCACCTTCCCCCTTCATTCGCTGCCTTTAGTTGAATCCTCCCAGCCCACAGTTCTCACTTAACCCCCTGCCCCACACACCGTGCACCTCTGCCTTAGGTCCCTGCCCCACGTCCCCTCCATTTCCATAGGAGCTATGAAGAAAAGGGGGCAAGGGGAATCGCCAAGTCCCCCCCCCACCTCTAGGCCCCTGCTTCACTCCCACAGCAGCTGCTAACAAAGTGGAACAAGAGACCCCCCCTCTCCTAAACCTCACAGAATTGCAGAGTTCGAAGGGGCCCCCCATAGGTCATCTAGTCCACCCCCTGAAAGGTAGGTCCCTGCCCCGCCCCATTCCAGTGGGGGGGTCCTCCTTCTCCCCCCCCCCCCAACCTCACCTTGGATAAGGACGAGACCCTCGACCCCTCCGGCCACCAGCTCCCCAAGCATCCCTCCCCTGCCTCCCCCGCCCCTCTGCGCCTTCGTTCTCGCTCACGCCGCCCGGCGCGCTCCACTGACGTCACTGTACGGACAAGCGGGACGCAGCGCGAGAGAGCGGCCCGCGAAGGCCCTTTGTACGGAAAGGCGCCGCATGGGAGCTGCCATGTTGAGGGAGGCGGTTTTTTGAGGCTGCCGGATTGAAGTGATTTGAGGGGGGGGTAATTCCCCTGCAACCCGGATTTAAAATAGCTGCCGTGAACGCGGCTTGGAAACGCGAAGGGTCCTGTCTCTGTGTATGCAGATTATATATTTATCTTTTTGGACAGGCAGGAGTCAGGACGCCTGAAAAAGGTCCTCAATTTGTCTGGCTGGTGGGGGCTGACGGGAGTTGTAGTCCAAAACAGCTGGAGGGCGCCAGGCTCGCCTGCTGGTATCCTCGTTTGCTGAACGAGAGATGCTGTGCCTTTCGCAGCAGCAGCTGGACTTGAAAACGGTAAACCGCCTTGGCAGAAAGGCGGCAATGTGAAGGCAATGAATGAATGAACAATAAAGAAGCAGAACATGTGCAAGGGCATGGCACTAGCCTGGGGAAGCTTCAACCTGTTGAATTTCTGCCTGCCCGTTGGTGCTTACATATCAGACAGGCGCCGTTTATATTGTTTCATCAGCGCCTTTGAAGCCCTCCCTTTTGCAAGATGCGTTTTTAAGTAATAATAAATTCCCAGGATTCCCTGGGGCGGAAGCCATGACTGTTTAAAATGGTATGACACAGCTTTAAACATATAGTGCAGACGGGACCTTACTCTTTGTTATATAAAAAAAAGGATGCCTATGGCTGCAACTCCCTTATTATTATTATTATTATTATTATTATTATTATTATTATTATTTATACCCTGCCCATCTGGCTGAGTTTCCCCAGCCACTCTGGGCGGCTTCCAACCAAATATTAAAAACAATACAGCGTCAGACATTAAAAACTTCCCTAAACAGGGCTGCCTTCAGATGTCTTCTAAAAGTCAGATAGTTTACTATTTCCTTGACATCTGGTGGGAGGGCGTTCCACAGGGCGGGCGCCACCACCAAGAAGGCCCTCTGCCTGGTTCCCTGCGACCTCACTTCTCGCAGCGAGGGAACTGCCAGAAGCCCCTCGGAGCTGGACCTCAGTGTCTGGGCTGAAGAATGTGGGTAGAGACGCTCCTTCATAATAATAATAATAATAATAATAATAATAATAATAATAATTTATTATTTATACCCCGCCCATCTGGCTGAGTTTCCCCAGCCACTCTGGGTGGCTCCCAATCAGTGTTAAAAACAGTACAGCGTTACATATTAAAAACTTCCCTGAATATACCTTCAGGTATACTGGGCCATTTAGGGCTTTAAAGGTCAGGAACAACAGTTTGAATTGTGCTCGGAAATGTACTGGGAACCAATGAAGATCTTTCAGGACCGGTCGTTATATGGTCTCGACGGCTGCTCCCAGTCCCCAGTCTAGCTGCCGCGTTCTAGGTTAATAAAATGGGTCTTTTCGGCGCCTGTTAAATGCCTCCCTCTTCCAGCAAACCTTTTAAGTAGAGATATTTCTCAGGCTGCATCTGCTTTAGGATTGTTTCAACATAGGGAAGCATTTTTTAAATAATGTATGGGATTTTGTAGTGGTTGGTTGTTGTTTCTTGGTGATGCTTTTATTGCAAAACTGCTTTGAGATATTTTATATAGGAAGTGACACATAAGTGGAATTAAATGAGGCAAGCCTCCGATAGGCAGAGAACCAAGTCAGCGACCCTTCTGGGCGCAGGGGAAAGGGGGCTGTGGAATGGGTAGGAAATGGGTGATTGCTGTGATGATTCTAAAGTGGAAGAAAGATCACACCAGACTCGAGCTCAGACAAACACAGATCCACCATAGCTGTCAACTGTCCCTTATTTTGCGGGAAAGTCCCTTATCCCAACGCCGTGTCCCGCTGCTGTCCCTTATTGATGATGCCCTTTAAATTTCCTGGGTTTCAAAGGAAGCAGCTCCTCTCCCTCCCTCCCTGCCGGCCAGGGAGGAGGGAGGCTCCAACCTGGGTTGCTTGGCTGCGTTGCTCACCCAATAAGGAGTCTGAGAACGACTGGGGGGTGGAGCTTGCATGCCTTGTGCCAATCAAATCAGCCATGTTGCCTGGGGACTCGCCTTTGCTCAGCGCTTCCCAGCAGAGAGGTGACGGTGGTTTTCCTTGCTGCATCCCCTTTGCCGGGTTGCTGCGCTGTGGGAACCACCGCTTGAGGCTTCCTTTGGCTGCTGGCTGGGCTTTCTGCCTTTGGCTCGGAGGGGCTCAGAAGTCAAACACACCTGTGCCTGGAAAATCCCTTATGTTGGCTGCTGATCCCTTATTTTCGAGGCTGCTGGTCCCTTATTTTCAAATCTGTAAGTTGACAGCTATGAGATCCACTGAATACATAACAGGAACCATCACTTGGCAACTTTTTGAGGTGCTGATGAGGACATTTAAATGGCCAGGTAAGGCCGTTCTCTTGCTAAGATGCTTGTCTGACTAGTTCAGCAGCAACAGAACCCTCTGTTAGAGTCGAACCTTCACTGGGTACAAGACCCCAAGAATTGGGGACTTAGGGCATGATCCAGACTGACATCCCCACCCTCCCAAACACACAACAATACAATTGCACAGATAACTTGTTTTATTAACACGTGCACACACAAAATTAATTACAACTCCCCACTAAGCAGCATCAGCCCCCGCATCTCTGGTACACGAACTGAGTTATCATGGCAAAAAGGACGAGAGCAAGCGAAGATACGACGATAATCAGCGCCATTATCATTCCAGGATCCTTCATCATCACTGAAAGAGAAACAGCAAACCTCCAGTGAAGATTATTTCCTCTTTTTTTAAAGGCCCTGATCACACTAATTTCCCCCCAAATGCGATATAGCAGGGTGCTAGCTAAGGGGGAACGGTTTGGGCCCAGATAATCTGAAAGATCGTATCTCCCTTTACAAACCTGGCCAGGTGCTAAGGATCACCAGGTGAGCACCTTCACTGGGTCCCATCAGCATCATGCTTAGAGTAGGGTTACCAGACGTCCCCGTTTCTCGGGGACAGTCCCCGGATTTGCAAATAAGTCCCCGGACAAATCCCATCCCCGGAATGTCCCCGGATTTCATCTAATGTCCCTGGGAAACGCAGCAGCGGCAGTCTCAGCAGCCCAGAGCAGTTGGGTCTTGCTGGCTTCAGGAGCTGCTCGGAAGTCCCCATATGATGGTGGTGCAGGGGCTCTCAGATGCCGCTTCTGGGCTGCCTCCACCTTCCCTGAGCCCAGCAACTAAGCTGTGAAGGGAGGCTCCATGCTGCCTGTCAGAGCAGCCTCCCAACTCCTACTTGCGTGCAAGCAGGAGGGAGCAGGGATCTCTCAGTTAGGCAATGGGAAGCCTCCCTTCCCAGCTGAGGGATTCCCGCCCCCTCCTGCTTGCACGCAAGTAGGAATGGGATTGGGGCTGCTCCAGTGTTGGTGCTGACCTTTAAAGCACTAAACGGCCTCGGTCCTGTATACCTGAAAGAGCATCTCCAACCCCATCTTTCTGCCCGGACACTGAGGTCCAGCTCCAAGGGCCTTCTGGCGGTTCCCTCCCTGCGAGAAGCCTAGTTACAGGGAACCAGGCAGAGGGCCTTCTCGGTAGTGGCGCCTGCCCTGTGGAACACCCTCCCAGCAGATGTCAAGGCAATAAATATTTTACTTTTAAAAAACAACTGAAGGCGGCCCTGTTTAGGGAAGTTTTAAATGTCTGATGCTGTATTGTTTTTAATATTCGGTTGGAAGCCGCCCAGAGTGGCTGGGGAAACCCAGCCAGATGGGCGGGGTATAAATAATAAATTATTATTATTATATGAAAGAGGCATCACGCTGCCTGAGAGATCCCTGCCCCCTCCTGCTTGCCCACAAGTAGGAGTTGGGATGGGGCTGCTCCGAAAGTCAGTGTGAAGCCTCACTTCCCAGCTGAGGGATCCCTGGCCGCTCCTGCTTGCACGCAAGTAGGAATGGGATTGGGGCTGCTCCGATGGGAAGGGAGGCATCGCGCTGCCCAAGCCTCGCTGCTGCCGCCACCGCTCTTGGCCCTCCTTCTCCGCCTTCCATGCCTGACCCACCGCGCACCACTTTCCCACAACCAACAACTCAGGGGCTGCCCAGGCTCATGGAGAAAGGAGATAGAATCTTCGGAGGAAGGGGAAATGTGGCGGTTGAGGTCAAGGCGGCCGTCGCCCCTCTGCCACAGCCATCACTTCAGAATCAACGTCCCAAACGTGTAGTAATTAATTAAAATGTCCCCACATTCATTGAAAACAATCTGGTAACCTTCGCTTAGGGGTAAAACAAGAGCCTTCTCGGTGGCTGCTCCCAGATTGCAGAATTCCCTCCCAAAGAGAGCTTAGATTGGCTCCTTCCTTGTCCTTCCCCAAAGATCTTCCTGTTCGGACAGGCCTTTGGAAACTAAGGAACAGATTATGCTGATGGCTGGGCCTATTTTGGAGCTGTGTGACAGAGCAACAGACCCTCCAAGTCTCCCTATTTTCCAGGGACATCCCTGATTTAGAGAAGCCACCCCAGTTTCTGATTTAATCCCAGAATGCCCCGCTTTTCCTTAAAGGTAAAGGTACCCCTGACCGTTAGGTCCAGTCGTGGCCGACTCTGGGGTTTAGGCGCTCATCTCGCTTTATTGGCCAAGGGAGCCGGCATACAGCTTCTGGGTCATGTGGCCAGCAGGACTAAGCCGCTTCTGGCAAACCAGAGCAGCGCACGGAAACACCGTTTACCTTCCCGCCAGAGCGGTACCTATTTATCTACTTGCACTTTGACGTACTTTCGAACTGCTAGGTTGGCAGGAGCAGGGACCGAGGAATGGGAGCTCACCCCGTCGTGGGGATTCGAACCGCCGACCTTCTGATCGGCAAGTCCTAGGCTCTGTGGTTTAACCCACAGCACCACCCGCATCCCGCTTTTCCTTAGGGTGTCCCTATTTTCATTGGAGAAACGTTGGAGGGTATGGAGTTATCTGATCCCCCATGCTATCTGAAGGCAATCCTGTATAGGGAAAGGTTTTTGGTTTTTTTAATGTTTAATGTTTTATTATATACGTTGGAAGCTGCCCAGAATGGCTGGGGCAACCCAGTCAGATGTCTGAGGTATAAATAGTTAAAATCATCATTATGAAATGGGACGTCGCTATTTTCATCAGAGAAATGTAGGAGGGTATGTAGCAGGGGTCAGCAAACTTTTTCAGCAGGGGGCCGGTCCACTGTCCCTCAGACCTTGTGGGGGGCCGGACTATATTTTGAAAAAAAATATTGAACGAATTCCCGGATTTAGAAGGCGATTGGGCCGGATCCAGCCCCCAGGCCTTAGTTTGCCTACTCATGGTATTGAGACTACCTTAGAAGGCAGTAACTTCTCTTTTCTTGGAGGTTTTCAAGCAGATATTGGATGGCCATCTGCCAGGGATTCTTTAACTAAGATTCCTGAATTGCAGGGGGTTCGACTGGATGATCTTGGGGGTCCCTCTTCTACAATTCTACACCATGCCGACAAAGCTCCCCCTTTCAGGTTGTTTAGGCAGCTCTAGGATCCTGGCAACAGGGACCCCGCTGCAGAAATAGTTAACGGTCTTTGGCCACCTGAGACCACTCCACTGTTGGGAGTAACCAAGCGAGAGAGGGGCAGATTCTCAAAGGAGACCAAAGAGCCAAAGGAATCAAGCTAGCGTAGCCCTGCTGGCTGTCTCACGTGCCGACTTGTGCTTCACAATCACCACTTTCTTCTCAGCGTCTGGAACTGGGCCCTGGGTTGAAGCAAGGGTGGTGTCCTCATTGGACTCCGTTTGAATTAAAGACGAGTTCTCTGTAAGTGAAGGTGAAGAAGAATATAACAACAACAACAACAGTAATAATAACAATAACAATAACAACAATAACAATAATTTATTTATACCCCGCACATCTGGCTGAGTTTCCCCAGCCACTCTGGGCGGATCCCAATCAAGTGTTAAAAACAATACAGCAATAAATATTAAAAACTTCCCTAAACAGGGCTGCCTTCAGATGTCTTTTAAAGATAGGATAGCTGCTTATTTCCTTGATATCTGGTGGGAGGGCGTTCCACAGGGCGGGCGCCACCACCGAGAAGGCCCTCTGCCTGGTTCCCTGTAACCTCACTTCTCGCAATGAGGGAACCGCCAGAAGACCCTCGGAGCTGGACCTCAGTGTCCAGGCTGAATGATGGGGGTGGAGATGCTCCTTCAGGTCTACTGGGCCGTTGAGGCCGTTTAGGGCTTGAAAGGTCAGCACCAACACTTTGAATTGTGCTCGGAAACGTACTGAAGAAAAAGAAGACGACTTCTGTAACTTCCCAGATTTCTGTGATGCATTCTCTGATGTTCTGCACGTGGGGATATTCCCCTCAGGGGCGGTTCAAGTACAGAGGCTCACCCCAAATCCACAAGTGGTCAGGCTTCATTCAATAATGCAATACCAAACAGTTCAGAGAGTCTGCATTTCCATTAGGACAGATATAAACAGGCAAAACTACAACACGATTCAAAGTGTTGGTGCTGACCTTTAAGGCCCCAAACGGCTTCGGTCCGGTATACTTGAAAGAGCGTCTCCACCCCCATCGTCCAGCCCGGACACTGAGGTCCAGCGCCGAGGGTCTTCTGGCGGTTTCCTCCCTGCGAGAAGTGAGGTTGCAGGGAACCAGGCAGAGGGCCTTCTCGGTGGTGGCACCTGCCTTGTGGAGCACTCCTCCATCAGATGTCAAGGAAATAAACAACTATCTGACTTTTAGAAAACATCTGAAAGCAACCCTGTTTAGGGAAGTTTTTAATGTTTAATGCTGTACAGTGGTACCTTGGGTTAAGTACTTAATTCGTTTTGGAGGTCCGTTCTTAACCTGAAACTGTTCTTAACCTGAATCACCACTTTAGCTAATGGGGCCTCCTGCTGCTGCCGCACTGCCGGAACACGATTTCTGTTCTCATCCTGAAGCAAAGTTCTTAACCTGAAGCACTATTTCTGGGTTAGCGGAGTCTAACCTGAAGCGTATGTAACCCAAGATACCACTGTATTGTATTTTTAACATTTGGTTGGGAGCCGCCCAAAGTTTTGTTTTGTTTTATATATTATATTATATTATATTATATTATATTATATTATATTATATTATATTATATTATATTATATTATATTATATTATATAATATATTATATATTATATATTATATATTATATATTATATATTATATATTATATATTATATATTATATATTATATTATATTATATTATATTATTATTATATTATTATTATTATAATTATAATTATCTTAGCTCTTCATCCTTTGCCCAACCACTTTCTGCTACCCCATTGTCCCACCATCTCATCCAAAAACACTGTTCGGGGAAAACATTTACTCAACCCATTTATTTTTTTTACTGTACATGTTTGAACCCTCCTTCTACCTTATCCGCACTTGTTTTCCACTTTAACATTCAGCTGTTACGTTCCTCTTTAACCATTTGCCAGTTCTGTGGTCAGGTTGCATTACTGCCTATGAGCCACTGGTCTCAACGATAATTTAACAGAAATTCCACCTCACCCATTCACCAGTAACTCAAAAGGAGAATTCAATAAAAGACGATATATGACTCTTTCCATTGAACACATTATAACCATCAAGCTAAGGCTCCAGTGGTGGCCAAACTCTGCCCTCCTGATGTTTTTGGGACTACAATTCCCATCATCCCTGGTCCTGATAGCTAGGGATGATGGGAGTTGTAGTCCAAAAACAGCTGGAGGGCCAAGTTTGGCCACCACTGAGCTAAGCCAAAAGACACACCCCACGTTTTAGGTCATCCTTCCCCCTCAAGATATTTTGAACTACAACTCCCATCATCCAGGACAATTGGCTAAGCTGACTAAGGATGATGGGAGTTGTAGTCCAAGACATCTGGTGGGCATCAGAGGGAGGCTGACCTAGATATACCCATGATGTTTTTGGTTTCAGAGACACCTGCCTTGCTGCCAATAGACATTTCTTTTCTGTCGCCCAACAGCTGTTCTCAGATTCGCCAGCATCTCGGAGCCTTTTGCTTCACTGATATTCCTTGAGCCTGCTAAGGGCATTTGCCTGGAAAGAGAAAACACCAGTCTGGAGAAAAAAAAAATTTACATGAAAGGGCGAGGGTGCATTGTACCAAAGCTACATACCGTATTTTTTGCCCTATAGGACGCACCGGCCCATAGGACGCACCTAGATTTGGGGGGGGGGGAAATAAAGGGGGAAAAATTATTCCCCCCCGCCAGGCACGGGGCTGGGGCGGGGTAGTCCGAGCTTCCCCCACCCCAGCCCCCAGAACAGGCAGCTCTCCACAAGCCGTTGGAGGCCAGCGCAAAGTCACGCTGGGTTCCCACAGCTTGCAGAGAGCTGCGCGAAGCCCACTCTGGGAGCATGCGGGGCTGGGGGAGGGGAGGCCCAAGCTTCCCCCGTCCCCCTACCCCAGAACGGGTCCCAGAGCGATCCCGAAGCTGCGCTCTGGGAGCTTGGCGGGCTTCCCCCGTCCCCAGCCCGCAGAACGGGTCCCAAAGTGATCCCGAAGCTGTGCACAGCTTCGCTATCGCTCTGGGAGCTTGCGGGGCTGGGGGCGGGGGAGGCCTGCCGCCAGCCTCCAAACCAGGTTGGGGGACAGCGGAATGGCACCGTTCCGCCTCCCCGCTGTCCCCCAAGCTTCTGGGGCTGGCGGTGCGGCTCTCCTGAAGCCTGGAGAGAGAACCTGCATTTGCCCCATAGGACGCACACACATTTCCCCTTCATTTTTGGAGGGGGAAAAGTGCGTCCTATAGGGCAAAAAATACGGGTATTTAAAAGGTCCATTCAAATAATTCTGTGCCACCTCTTCCCACGGGCAGCACATCAGTTAACCTATGGAACTCGCTGCTACTGGCTCAGAAATACAGGTGTTGCTCAGGTGTGTCGTTGCCCACCCTGTTGCCCACCAAGCCCAACCACACCTGCACCAGGTAAGTCACTAAAACTGCTCATCCCTCCCACCCCAAATCACGTACACCTGTCCTGCTCTCCAGTCCTCATAGCTTGGAGGGGTGAAAAAGGAAGTGTGGTAGGCTGCTTGCCTACTGAGATAGTAAGTATTCCCATAAAGGTAAAGGGACCCCTGACCATGAGGTCCAGTCGTGACCGACTCTGGGGTTGCGGCGCTCATCTCGCTTTACTGGCCGAGGGAGCCGGCGTACAGCTTCCGGGTCATGTGGCCAGCAGGACTAAGCCGCTTCTGGCCAACCAGAGCAGCGCACGGAAACGCCGTTTACCTTCCCGCCGGAGCGGTACCTACCCGTATTTTTCGCTCTATCAGACGCACCAGACCACAAGACGCAACTAGTTTTTGGAGGAGGAAAACAAGAAAAAAAATATTCTGAATCTCAGAAGCCAGAACAGCAAGAGGGATCGCTGCGCAGTGAAAGCAGCAATCCCTCTTGCTGTTCTGGCTTCTGGGATAGCTGCGCAGCCTGCATTCGCTCCATAAGACGCCCACACATTTCCCCTTACTTTTTAGGAGGGAAAAAGTGAGTCTTATAGAGCAAAAAATACGGTATTTATCTACTTGCACTTTGATGTGCTTCCGAACTGCTAGGTTGGCAGGAGCAGGGACCGAGCAACGGGAGCTCACTCTGTCACGGGGATTTGAACCGCCGACCTTCTGATCAGCAAGTCCTAGGCTCTGTGGTTTAACCCACAGCACCACCCGCATCCCAGTATTCCCATAGCTTGCCTTAAATGGTGCGTTGTCCTTAAAAAAGCCTAAGATATACTACTGGGCTGCAATGCAAACTTGGTTCGGGATCTGCATTATCTGTCTTCTGGTCCCTTGGTCCTGGCCGTGGCTACAACATTATTCAAGCCAAGATAGAGGATATCTGTGGCCCTGCAAATCTTCTGGGACTCCAGCTGTCACCAGCCCTGAATTAAGCGGCGGCACTCTGCAGATGCCCAGAGACACTGTGGCCACATTCACACCATAAAACACTAAGATGCCACCTTAAACAGTCGTGGCTTCCCCCAAGGAGTTTTGGGTACTGTAGTTTGTTATGGATAGATCCTGAGACTGGTTAGGAACCTCTCATTGCTTTCCTTAAGAAAGAGGTTTCTGGTAGTACTCACTACAAAGTTGTTATAGTAAGAGCCAGATTTCAAACCAGTGCTTTTTTTGAAGGACAAAAGGTGCCCGTGCCCAGAGTACCCCCAGAAAAAAAACCCACAGGGAATCCTCCATATCCCCTCACAATTAATCAAATTCCCCAGGAAGAGGGACTGGTTGTTAAACCACTCCGAAAACTGTACGTCTCTGAGGGGAATAAGGATCTCCTAAAAAACCCCACAACCTCAGCTCACAGAATTATTTTGGGGAAGCCATGGCTGTTTTTAGAAAACATCTGAAGGCAGCCCTGTTTAGGGAAGTTTTGAATGTTTGATGCTTTATTATATTTTATATTTTTTATTATATTTTTTTTGGAAGCCGCCCAGAGTGGTTGGGGAAAATATTATCATTATTTGATATACAGTGGTACCTCGCAAGACGAATGCCTCGCAAGACAAAAAACTCGCTAGACAAAAGGGTTTTTTGTTTTTTGAGCTGCTTCGCAAGACGATTTTCCCTATGGGCTTGCTTCGCAAGACGGAAACGTCTTGCAAGTTTGTTTCCTTTTTCTTAACACCGACAAAACTCGTGGAACGAATTAATTTCGTCTTGTGAGGCACCACTGTATTAACACTTTAAATGTATATGGAGTAATGCCGATAATAAGCCTTTGTATTTGTGATTTCCTTGTTTTCCAGAATGGAAGCTGCACCTACAAATATAGGTTTTCCCAGCTCAAGTTAACCTGAGAGGTCATTCCTCGTAGGGAACCATCCAGGCCCTGTTCCCATGCCCAGTACCCCGTCTCCCCAAATACCTTATGCGATTTTTTTGCAAACCTTGGACAATGACACTCAATGAGGACTGCAGACAGCAGGCTGGGCTCAGCTGTGGTGGGAGCAGGCCTTTCCGCGTTGTAAAACAAAATATTTCTGTAGATCACGGTGCCTGGAGTCAGCTGTTGGGAGAATAAACAGAGAATCGCACTGCAGTATTGAACACTTGATTGGGAGCTGCCCAGAGTGGCTGGGGAAACTCAGCCAGATGGGCAGGGTATAAATAATAAATTATTATTATTATGAACATTTGCACACACATGAGCCCAGGTGTCAGGGCGATGGACACAGCTCCAAGCCTTAATTCACATCTGAAATTTCTTTTATTTTATTTATTGCATTTGCAATTTATTGCATCACCAGGAGGTTTGGGCTGGGTGTTCATCAGTATGCGGATGATACCCAGCTCTACCTCTCTTTTAAATCAGAACCGGTGAAGGCGGTGAAGGTCCTGTGTGAGTGTCTGGAAGCGGTTGGAGGATGGATGGCAGCTAACAGATTGAGGTTGAATCCTGACAAGACAGAAGTCCTGTTTCTGGAGGACAGGAGGCGGGTGGGTGTGGAGGATTCCCTGGTCCTGAATGGGGTAACTGTGCCCCTGAAGGACCAGGTACGCAGCCTGGGAGTCATTTTGGACTCACAGCTGTCCATGGAGGCACAGGTCAAATCTGTATCCAGGGCAGCTGTTTACCAGCTCCATCTGGTACGCAGGATGAAACCCTATCTGCCTGCGGACTGTCTCGCCAGAGTGGTGCATGCTCTGGTTATCTCCCGCTTGGACTACTGCAATGCGCTCTATGTGGGGCTACCTTTGAAGGTGACCCAGAAACTACAACTAATCCAGAATGCGGCAGCTAGACTGGTGACTGGGAGCGGCCGCCGAGACCATATAACACCGGTCTTGAAAGACCTCCACTGGCTCCCAGGACGTTTCCGAGCACAATTCAAAGTGTTGGTGCTGACCTTGAAAGCCCTAAACGGCCTCGGTCCAGTATATCTGAAGGAGCGTCTCCTCCCCCATCGTTGTGCCCGGACACTGAGGTCCAGCTCCGAGGGCCTTCTGGCGGTTCCCTCACTGCGAGAGGCCAAGTTACAGGGAACCAGGCAGAAGGCCTTCTCGGTGGTGGTGCCTACCCTGTGGAACACCCTCCCATCAGATGTCAAAGCGATAAACATCTACCTGACATTCAGAAGACATCTGAAGGCAGCCCTGTTCAGGGAAGTTTTTAATATGTGACATTTTAGTGTATCTTTCATCTTTGTTGGAAACCGCCCAGAGTGGCTGGGGAAACCCAGCCAGATGGGCGGGGTACAAATAATAAATTATTATTATTATTATTATTATTATTATTATTCACAGCCCACAGTTTTCTCGGAGGGGCTAAAGGTGCCACACATGCTTCGCTCCCCCCTCATTCAATCGCACAACAACCCTGAGAGGTAGGTCCGGCTGAGAGGCACCCGGTGAGCTTCACAGCCAAGTGGTGGAGAGATTTGAATTCTGGTCTCCCAGGTCCCTGCAACCACTGCACCACACTGCCTCTCGTTGGCAAGTGATGGAGAGTTCCCAGACGCACCAGGCTTGAGAAATCCTCAGCCAGCCCAAAGGCAGGAAAGTGTAATAAACAAAAACCTGCCCTTATTCCCTTATGGGGGGAAACAAGAGCCCCTATAAAGTCCTTTGTAGGTTCTCCATTGGTCGGAGAAAATGACAGAGGACAACCAGAGAATATTGAGAAGCAAAACAGTTTGTAAGCCTGATCTTTATTGAACTGTTGCAACAGGGTGCTCCCCTCACATGCAGGAAAGGAGGACCCCGAACCAAGGTGTGCCTGCCCTAGGGGTGTAACCCAAGACCACCACCCCACAAACATCATACCTACATCACAGAAAAGGCGATTTACAACAGAAATCCGAGTGCCTTGTTTTTACCCTGTCTGCCAGGTTATTTGATAATGCTTTATCTGATTGCCTTTCCGGGTAGTCTGGCCATTCCTTTGAGATGGTGATTTCCCAATTCCTGAGACAATGGGAAGGTTCCCTCGCCCGCTCCCTCCTTGCAGAGGAAACATTTGGTCAGTTTGGGAGTCAAAATGGTTTCAGGGCGGTCTTCCTATATATATGGGACATGGGTGGCGCTGTGGGTTAAACCACAGAGCCTAGGGCTTGCCGATCAGAAGGTTGGCAGTTCGAATCCCCGCGACGGGGTGAGCTCCCGTTGCTCGGTCCCTGCTCCTGCCAACCTAGCAGTTCGAAAGCACATCAAAGTGCAAGTAGATAAACAGGTACCACTCCGGCGGGAAGGTAAACGGCGTTTCCGTGCTCTGCTCTGGTTCGCCAGAAGCGGCTTAGTCCTGCTGGCCACATGACCCGGAAGTTGTACGCTGGCTCCCTCAGCCAATAAAGCGAGATGAGCGCTGCAACCCCAGAGTCGGCCCCGACTGGACCTAATGGTCAGGTGTCCCTTTACCCTTTACCTAATATATATATATATATATATATATATATATATATATATATATATGCAGGTTTTGGTGTCCTCGGGTGTCTTCCCGTGTAAAAGTTGGGGTGTCTAGGCGACGTTTCGACGAGGTCTCACTCGTCATCTTCAGGCTGGTGCTTTCGGCTTCTTGTTACTGGAACAGAGCCTATACACATATATATACACATATACACATATATATGTGTGTGTGTGTGTGTGTGTATATATATATATATATGAGACACTGATTTTTTTATTTCAAGGAAAGCGAGGCTCTGTTCCCGACATTGCAACATCGCCCGGAAGGAAGAATGGAGAAGACAGAGGAGGAACCCCAACATCTCACCTGGACCTGGGATCCGCACGCTTGGAGGGCGACCGCAAAAACCACAGTTTCTCCTTCGAGGCTCGTATAAGGACAGTCTCCCAGGGTCAGGTCACTGGGTTTCACCATCTCTTTGGCTCCTGAGCTTTTCTCCACCGACACAATAACTTGGGACTGGTCACATTTTACCTTCACCCAGTAAGGCCCAGTTTGCTGAACCCACCAGGACTGGGTCGAAGGAAACCACTGTCCTGTATGAACACGAAGTGGGGCTGGCATCGCCCCCACAGTTAAGCAAACTAACAGCCAGCCATAGCCCCCCATTCTTCACACCCTACAAGGCCTTCTTCAGCCCAGAAAGGGAAAAATACCCTTAGCAGCAGCTTTTTATAGCTTCACCTGCATCAGGTGATTAACAGGTTTTCCCCCCTCCTCCCCCTCATCACACACCTGTCTTGGACCAAAAGGTGATTGCTAACGGGAGTATTTTACTCCCATTGTATGAGATGGCTAGAGCTCCTCCAGTTTGCAAGGCTCATTTGACAACAAAAAAAGAAACCGAGCCTTTCTTGTCGTTTTCCCAGTCCTGTGGAACTCTCTGCCACTAGAGAGTTAGCAGGCGTCTTCCATTCTCAACTTTTAAATGCCTGCTGTAAAACTTTGCTATTCCGGCAGGTTATGCAAGCAATTATCTTTCTGCAACAGTTAACTGGTTTTAATTTTCTATATGGTTTTTATTGTATGGTTTTATGTTACAATTGTTGCAAACTGCTTTTTTAAAATAACAAATTGAAATAAATGATAAAATAAAATAAGGCTACTACTCTTTTCTCCGGTGGGTGAAGATGGAGATAGGATGGATTTGTTGAAGATTGTAAAAAGTTTGCCGCACCCTAACTTTGGGGGTATGTTTCAGCCTGTTGATTTCAGGGGGGCTAAACACACATATCTTTGGGGACTGAGCCCCATTAGACAGAGTGGAACTTGCTTCTAGGTAAGCATGCAGGCCGGGATTGCAGGGTAAGGCTGCAAACCTAACCGTGTCTACTCAGAAGTAAGTCCTGTTGGGGGCTTACTCACAGGTAAGTGGGGTTTTGACTGCAGCCTTAAAAAGTGTAAAATATTAACACACACACACACACACACACACACACACACCCTCCCCACTATAGACTGACAGCAGTTTCTTACATGTTTACCCAGAAAGTCCTACTGAGCTCTATGGGTGTTAATCTTAGGTATGCTGTGTAGCTTTGAAATATGCCACTGAGGTATCAATGATTTTTCTTGTGAACTGCTCAGAGGCTTTATTGCAATCAAGCGGTCTATAAATGCTGTTGGGGACGCGGGTGGCGCTGTGGGTAAAAGCCTCAGCGCCTAGGGCTTGCCGATCGAAAGGTCGGCGGTTCGAATCCCCGCGGCGGGGTGCGCTCCCGTTGCTCCGTCCCAGCGCCTGCCAACCTAGCAGTTCGAAAACACCTCCGGGTGCAAGTAGATAAATAGGGACCGCTTACTAGCGGGAAGGTAAACGGCATTCCGTGTGCTGCGCTGGCTCGCCAGAGCAGCAATGTCACGCTGGCCACGTGACCCAGAAGTGTCTCCGGACAGCGCTGGCCCCCAGCCTATAGAGTGAGATGAGCGCACAACCCTAGAGTCTGTCAAGACTGGCCCGTACGGGCAGGGGTACCTTTACCTTTATAAATGCTGTTAAAAAAAATAACTAATTTTATCTAAAGAGTTTTTAAAATCCCATTTTTCGGCCAAAAAGAGGGCATAATTGCAACTTGCTAAAATGAAAAAAAGAAAAGAAAGGAGAGATGAGTTTACAATCTGAAAAAGATGCAACACAAAAGGAAAACAGGTTGGAAGGAGGAAATGAGCGCACCAAGTCTAACAATGTGATGGGCGGGGTATAAATAAATGAATAATAATAATGCTGATGTTGAAGAGTCATATTATTATGCTATTAAAATGTTAATACCTAATACTAATAATAGTTTTACAATCTAAAAAGACGAGAGGAAATAAGCGCACGGTACTAACATAATTTTTATTGCACCTGTTGAATTTGTATTGCTGCAACATTACATTATTATTATCATTAATAAGCAATTATTGTTAATACATTGAAATATTGCATGTTTATCGCTGTCCTATCCTATTGTTAAATACCAATAAGCAAAATGATTGTTGACGCATTGGAATTTTAACAACCACCTATTAATATGCCAGATGGAATTAATAATGAATAAATAAATAAAAAATAATTTGTGCATTTGATGTTTTAATGCAGGTTGGTAACCCGCTTTGAGGTCCCCCCCCCCGCCTTAAAAATATAACAATAAACTATCATGATTATCCCCCGCTTCTCCCAGGAGAGTTTGCCCTGCTGCCGTAAAGCGCTCCTGCCGGAAAAGGAGAAGGCGGAGAAGGCGGCACGTAGCCGCTGCGCCAGCCTGCCGTAAAGCGCGGCGGCGGCGGCGGCGCTGCGCTCCTCCCTCCCTCCCTCCCTCCTGCCGTAAAGCGTTTCCGGGCGTCGGAGCGCCCTCCTGCCGCCAAGCGGGCCGGCGGAGGCATGCCCCTGTGCCGTAAAGCGCGGCCGTCCGTCGCGCGCGGCTGTGCGCCCTGGTGCCTCCGCCGTGGGTGGGGGGGAGGCGGCGGCGGCGGAGGGGGCGGCCTGGTCCACCGGGGGGCGGGATGCTGGGCCCGGGCGGCGGCGGCGGGGAGCGGGCGGGCGGCCTCTTCGGCGCCTCTGCCGCTGCTGCACCCTCGCACGGGGCGGCTGGTGACGGTGTCTCGGGGCGGCCGCAGCGCCGCCCGCTCGCAGCCCGGCCAGGAGTTCAACCACGGGCTCGTCCTCAGCAGGGAGCCCCTCGCCCCGGGCGCCGTCTTCACCGTCCGCATCGACAGGAAGGTGAGGGGGGAGGGGGGGAAAACGGGGGTGCCCCCAGCAGAGAGGGAGGGGGAAGAGCGGGGTAGGCGGAGGGTGGGGGGTGTAAGAAGAGGGGGGGGATGTGGAGGGTGAGTGAGGGGGGTAACTGTGGGGTAAGATGAAAGGTTGAGGATCAGGGTATGCAGAGGGTAGGGGTGGGGTGACTGGGGGTATGGAGAGTGGGGTAAGGGAATAACTGGGGTAACTGAGGTAAGATGAAAGGTTGAAGATCAGGGTATGTGGAAGGTGGGAGGATGTCAGAAGAGTGGTGTACGTGGAGGGTAAGTGAGGGGGGATAACTGGGGTAAGATGAATGGTTGAAGATCAGGGTATGCAGAGGGTAGGGGGTAGGGTGACTGGGGGTAAGAAGAGTGAAGAGTGGGGTATGTGGAGGGTAAGTGAGGGGGGTAACTGTGGGGTAAGATGAAAGGTTGAGGATCAGGGTATGCAGAGGGTAGGGGTGGGGTGACTGGGAGGTAAGAAGAGTGAAGAGTGGGGTAAGTGGGGGTAAGATGAAAGGTTGAGGATCAGGGTATGCAGAGGGTAGGGGTGGGGTGACTGGGGGGTAAGAAGAGGGAAGACTGGGGTAATTGGGGGATAACTGGGGTAACAGGTAAGATGAAAGGTTGAAGATCAGGCTATGTGGAGGGTGGGGGGATATAAGAAGAGTAAAGAGTGAGGTACATGGAGGCTGTGGGGGGTAAGTGGGGTAAGATGAAGGGTGAAGATCAGGGCATGCAGAGGGTAGGGGTGGGGTGACTGGGGGGTAAGAAGAGGGAAGACTGGGGTAATTGGGGGATAACTGGGGTAACAGGTAAGATGAAAGGTTGAAGATCAGGGTATGTGGAGGGTGGGGGGATATAAGAAGAGTAAAGAGTGAGGTACATGGAGGCTGTGGGGGGTAAGTGGGGTAAGATGAAGGGTGAAGATCAGGGCATGCAGAGGGTAGGGTGACTGGGGGGTAAGTGAGGGGGGATAACTGAGGCAACAGGTAAGATGAAAAGTTGAAGATCAGGGTAGGCGGAGGGTGGGGGGATGTAAAAAGAGTGGGGTATGTGGAGGGTAAGTGAGGGGGTAACTGGGGTAACTGGGGTAAGATGAAAGGTTGAAGATCAGGGTATGCAGAGGGTAGGGGGTGGGGTGACTGGGGGTAAGAAGAGTGAAGAGGGGGGTACCTGGAGGGTAAGTGGGGGGATAACTGGGGTAAGATGAAGGGTGGAGATCAGGAGATGGGGGTGATTGGAGTAACTGGGGGGTAGGAAGAGTGAAGAGTGGGGTATGTGGAGGCCGGGTGAGGGGTAAGTGGGGAGATAACTGGGGTAAGGTGAAGTTGAAGATCAGGGTATGTGGAGGGTTTTGGAATGGGAGAATAGCTGAGCTAAGAAGGTTGGGCTGGGAGGGGGGTGGGAGCTCAGCTGGGTTTGTATGTAGGAAAGCTCACATTTATCCCCCCCCCCAATGTGGCAGGTGCCAGAGGGAGGGAGGTGCAACTGGGGTGCAGGTGGGGCAACCAGAGGAGTGGGAAGCGGGGTGTTGGGAGGGTGGCTGAGTGGGAGACGTGTTGGGGTAACTGTGGGTGGGAAGAAGGGCAGAATATTCAGGGTAAATGCAGGGTAAGATGAAGAAGGAAGATCAGGGTGTGTGGAGGGTGATTTGGTGGCAACTGGGGTGTGTGGGGCTGGGCGATCAGCTTGTGGGGTGCAGAGATGAGCAAGGCTGGAATATATGAGAGGTAAAGGGAGGTATCTGGAGGTGGATTTTGTTGTGGTCTGTGTGGAGGAAGAAGAAAGGGAGCTCCAGGGGTACATATGAGGCTGTATTCATGGTCCTCACCCCTGCATCTGGTCCTAACAACAACCCTGTGAGGTGGGCTACACTAAGGGAGAATAGTGGCATCTGGGGCAAGAGGTGACTGGGAGGGAGTGAGAAACTGGTTATGGGAAGTCAGGGCCACGTGTCCCGAGTTCAAGAGCAGTGAGGGCCGAGAACGGAGAGGATGATCACTCTCTCTAAGAGCCAGCGTTGATTGTGAGTGCCAATGTCTGCGTACTGTAGACAAATTGGAGCCATAAGAAAACAAGAGAGGATGCCGTCTCCATTTAGCAAAGGGACTGCAAATTTAAAATCCAACATGTATCATAATGCTGTTTTGCAAATCTCTGGTGCAACCACCTATGGAATACTGTCTACAGTTCTGGCTGCCTCGCTTCAGAAAATGTGGAGTTGGGAAAAGTTCAGAAGGTGGAGAAATTTTTTTTCTCATTTTCATAACACCAGGAAGCTGAACAGTTCAGAGCAGACAAAGAAAAGTACTCCTTCACACAGCGCTTTGTTAAACTATGGAACTCACTGCCACAAGAGTTCACGCTGCTCATCCACCTGAATGGCTTTAAAAATGGATTAGACAAATAGCCTATCAGTGCCATCTAACCACAGTGGTTTAGTATTCTCTCTCCACTGTCAGAGGTGGGATGTCTTGGAATACCAGCTATTGGGAATCAGGGCAGGGGGGCGTGCAGAAAATGCTCTTGTGCTCAGACTTGTGGCCACTGGTTGGCCGCTGTGAGAACAGGCTGCTGGACTAGGTGGTTTGTTGGCTTGATCCCACTGCAGGCCTCTTCTGATCTTACCTGTCGGCATGGATTGGCGTATCCTAGGAAAGGGCTAATCTGTCTGCAGAGGAGCACTATGGTGCGCTCTGTCCGCTTGCAAATTTTGAAATGTTTCTGTCTGTCCGCTCTTCCCTTTGAATCCTGGGTAGCCTGCAAAGCAGCAAACACAATTGCTTGTTTTGAATGAGCTCAGATGGGAAAGTGGGCAGGTTCCGCTAAGGCAGAGCAGCCGGAAGGAATTTTTCAAATTTTATTTCCTTGCCTGGAGGAGAGCGTTTGCCTCCAAGGTGCTACGTGGGCTTCGCTTTGGGGAAGCTGGACCCTGGACTAGTCGTCCTTCTGTCTGACCCAGAGCTGCTGTGATGTGATCATTTCCTGAGCAGAGAAAGAGAGGGTGCTAATTCTGGCCCAATACCCAATTTTTAAACATTTTCCTTCTCTCCTTCCCTAAATTAGAATTCTCCTAGGTAGCTCAGGAGAGCTGGGGAGGGGGTGAGATTTAAAATAAAATAATAAGGTTGGAAAATGGCTCATTTTTTAGGGTTTTTTTTGTACATCCCACCTGAGAGCTGTTTCTCCAGGCTCTGTCGACTTGAGCCTGTCAGCTCAGGAAGTACTCCTGTGCACGTTAAG